CGAAATTTCTGCCAATAAGGCTGATATGTCTCGATTGTGGATGGTGCACGAACATGGCTAATAACGTTCAACAAATGTTGCTGGAGCTGAGCCAAAATTCCTGAAATCACACAATGATAATTTTTATTAGATCGCATAATTTACACGCAAAGCTATGATTGGGCTATGGGGCAATCCGAGTCCAGAAAATGCAGAGGTGTGTGAACCTGGCCGAAGGCATTGACTGCCTTGAGCAAGGGGAATGTGCGCTACAACCGCAGGAGCCCATGATTGTGCGGACGGCTGGAGGAGAGGCCACCATGACGCTCCGGTCCATTGGGGTACTATCAGCGTGAGTTCGGCTTGCGTGCGTTCCGCGTGCCGGAGTGTGGCTGGGATCAGGTGTGGTGGCGGAAAAGCAAAGCATCGTTCGCCCTTCCAAGAGACGGAGAATGCATCTATGGCGAACGCGCTTAGGTGTGGTAGCTTGGAACAGAAGCGCTGGACCTGGTTGTTACGAGCGTTTGCAAAGAGGTCAATCGTGTGGGGACCCCAGCGGCGCTCCAAGAGGCGAAACCATGGTGCATGTAAGGAGTAGTCATCGTGGTCTTGCAACTTGGACAGTTCGTCCGCGTGAGCATTGAGCTCTCTTGGAATCCATTCAATTGCGAGGCGTGTGGCGTTGCCGAGGCAGAACTGGATGATTGCTTGGCACGTCAATGTCAGTTCCGAGTGGCGAGATCCCCCCTTGCGCAATATGAACATGACCGCCTGGTTGTCCACCCTGACGAGAACGTGAGCACCCGCGATCTGGGTTGCGAATGTCTGCAGCACCCATAGCACTCCCTCGAGCTCGCGCCGCGTGCTGGACGTAGTGAGCAGCTCGCTTGGCATGCATGCGCTGGCTTCACATGATGTGCTTGGAAACTTTGTCAGGGTGGCACCCCAGCTGTGTGCGCTCTCGTCGACGTGGATGACGGCATCAAACCGGTGGCTCTGGTGGAATGGGGCCCCATTGAAGTGATCGAAGTGCTCCGTCCAGAAGAGCAACTCCTCCGTCGCTCCCAGTGACAACGGGACCTTCGAGTTCCATGACCACGCGGAGTCGATCAAGCACAGCAACTCGTGACTAAAGGCACGTGCCGTCGTGCCTAGCGCGAGCGACATGGAGCTGAGGAATCCAGTGATCCGAGCTATCTGGCGGATCGGCACTTGTTGGCCTGACTGGCTTTTTGTAATAAGCCGGTGGAGCTCACGCAGTAGTTGCTCACGCCGATCTTCCCCGACGAGAAACATCCCTCGTACAGTATCAAGCTCCATTCCGAAGAAGCGCAATTGGTGCGTGGGATGCAGGTTTGATTTCTTGGCGTTGATCACGAAGCCTGCTGCCTTCAAGTCTCGGAGGACTTCCGTGCACGTTGAACGTGCTTGGATCTCGGAGTTGCAGAGGAAAAGTAAGTCGTTCACATATGGGATCACGCGAACTCCGCGCGCGCGCCATCTCTTAGCTAGCTGCTTAATTAACTGGGTGAAGACAAACGGTGCTGTCGCCAGGCCGAAGGGCATGGAGGTGAAGCAGTAGAATTCTCCCTCAAATTGAAATCCCAAGAACTTCCAGCAGGATGGGTGAATGTCAACATGGTGGTATCCTGACTTCAAATCAATTGTAAATAGCCAGTCGTTTGGGCGGATAATTTCTGCAACTCGGGCTAAGCCTTCGTACTTAAACTTGGGCACTTGAAGGTGGGAGTTGACCTTTCGTAGGTCAAGTATGAGGCGGCATTTGTCCCGTTGCTCTACTACATTGAGCGGGCTGATGCATGCCAATGTGGCCTTTGACAAAACTTTGAGTGCGGCACCCGAAGTGATGAGGTCGCGGACAGCACCTTGGGTGAAGGTCATATGTGCTTGCACTCCTGCGTGATTGGGGGCCTCGAAAGGGATGGGCTCCTCGCCCTTCCATGATAACCAATACCCTTTGGCAATGATGGAAAGGATGAAGCTGCTGTCGCACCAAGAGAGCCACCAGTGCAGGCTGTTGCGCAGTCGCCTTCGCATGACGGACACCATGTTGTCCGTTATTGCGTGCGTGTATGGGTCCCAACTGACATCTTGCCACTCGCCGCCGGCTTCTGCAAGTGGCGGGCAACCAAGGTTGAATAGAGGGAAAATGACGAGGCGGATTAAACACGGATCCGGCGGGGCGATGTGTAGGGGAACTATATCACCCTCCTTCCCCCCGCTTCCCCCCCACTACTGGCCACAAGTCAGCCATAAAACCTCTGTCTAGGTTGTGGCTTGAGTGTATGTGCGGTGTTGTTGTTGTTGTTGTTGTTGGTGTGCGTTTTTTTTTTGAATCGCCTCACAAAGAGCGCGACGACGCATGTGCCTCACTTGGTCCCATGGCTTCTCCCGCCGTATTTCCTTTAACGGCTGGCCACTTCTCCCTCTCCCTCTCTCTCTCTCTCTCTCTCTCTCTCTCTCTCTCTCTCTCTCTCTCTCTCTCCCTCTCTCTCTCTCTCTCTCTCTCTCTCTCTCCATCCCTCTCTCTCTCTCTCTCGTTCTCTCTCTCTCTCTCCCGCTCTCTCTCTCTCTCTCTCTCTCTCTCTCTCTCTCTCTCTCTCTCTCTCTCTCTCTCTCTCTCTCTTTCTCTCTCTCCCTCTCTCTCTGTCCCCCTCTCTCCCTCCCTCTCTCCCTCTCTCTCTCTCTCTCTCTCTCTCTCTCTCTCTCTCTCTCTCTCTCTCTCTCTCTTGCTCTCCCTTTCTCTTTTTCTAACTTCTCCCTCTCCTTGCTTTCTTGTTTCTGCCCTTGCTTCAGCTCTCATATTTGGCCTCTCCTCCCTTCCTTATTGCCACCTCTAAGAGGAGGGGCTGGCTTTTTGATAGTTGGGACATTCATTGTTGCCCTCCCTCGGGGTTTTTTTTTTTTTTTTTTTTGTGAAGAAACTCTTTTATTAATCACTTCACACAAGGCATATTAGCCTAGGCCTATTCCATATCCAGCCCCTACGGCTGCCTTATTCCATGGCCCTTTGGCATATGCTACTTCTAAAGGCCTCCCACTAGCCTACGCACCACCGGTGCATCCACCTACGCCCCCGGCATAGTGGCAAGGGGCGCCGCCCCATAGCTCCCCTCACACCACGGGTGCGGGGCCTTGTGCGCCACGCCCTCCCATAGGGCAATTGTTTGCCATATGGCCGGGCTGGCCACAGCGGAAACAAACGCCCTTGAAACGGGGCTCGTGGCAGGCCGCGGGTGGCATGCCCTTGCTTTCCGGTTCGCCATCTCGAAGGGGAAGGCGGCCTCCGCGAGCGAAGCCGGTGCGCGCGCGCTTGAGGGCCGCCACGTCGGCTACCGCGAGCTTGTAGGAGCGAGACGTGAGCACGCTCTTGGCTTGGTACAGCTGGAAGCGATCCGCCGCCTCGAAGCCGGCTTCGTCCGCCACCAATAACACCTCGAAGCGTTTGTTGACCAACGTTTCGATTTGCGCGACATTGGCGAGCGCGCCCTCGACGTCGCCGTGTTGGAGCTTGAACTCGACGTGCCTCAGGTGAGCTTGAATTGCAGAAAACACCTCCGCCTGATCACGCACTCCCTTGCGCATGAAGGTAGTAGCTGCGGGTGTGGGGTTGAGGGGAGGGAGGGGGGGTGCGGGTGCGAGAATGCGACGGCGGGCAAGGTTGTCGGGGGCCTCACCGTCGTCATTTTCCGAGTCGTCGCTGTCGTCGGGGACACGGGCTTGGGTAGGTGCCGGAGCTGGGGCAGAAACGGGAGCGGCGTTGTTGGCGCGAGCGACCTTGGCGGAGCGGGGGGGCGCGACAGGTTCTTTCTGCTTTTCAATTTTAGCAGAAGCAGAAACGTCTTCCGTCGATGTAGCTGTAGTTGATGTGCATGCTGCTGCAATATCGAGAGTAATGCCTGCAGCTGCTGTGTAGTCAAAGGGGGGGGGGTGTTGACCGGGGTGACGTCAGCGGAGGGTGCCGCGCGCTGGCGCTTCTGGGTCGTGGGCCCGGGTTGACCCGAGTCAACGGCGGTCAAGACGGCTGCCGCGTCAGCGGCGGCCGTCGTCTTCTGCGCAGCACGCGCGTGCCTGCCAGGCACGCGCTCTTCAGCAGCAGCCACGCGCGACTGTACAACAGTCGCGCGTTCCTCAGGGGGGGTCCAAAGGGTGCCTCCGAGCAGGAGGTCGACCGCCGAAGGTCCCTCGCCTGAAATTTCTTCGGCCGAGCGTTTTCCGCGACGATCCGTTGTCCCGGCCGGGGTTGCGGTTTCCGCCGCGTTATTGGGGCTTGAAATGTTCGAGTTGTCGCGGTTAATTGCCGGGTTGACCGGAGCCATCTTCGCGAGGTTGCGCTTAAGGATGTCGTTAAGGAGTGTCGACGGGGCAGTGAAGCGCGCAAGCGACTGAGTCTTCGCCAGTGTGGACGAGAACGGAAATGAAACTACAACTAGAAATGAAAACGTGGGTGAGGACGAATGACCTCATGACCCTCTTTTGTAGGCAAAAGAAGGTGAGTAGCGCTTCGGCGCCACCTTTGCTGTGTTGGCCACGTACCCCCTTTCACAATACAAAATTTGAGAAAGTGTTACACTTTCAAAAATTATAATAATATTTGTAACCAATTCTGATACGGTACAGAAAGCCTGAACAGTGACGATGCTGCTACTCCTGGATATTTTTGTATTTTATCACACTTTCGCAGACACAACAACCTCGTTTCTGACGCGGGGATTAACAAACATTTTCTTGAGAATAAAACAAGACATTTCAGGGGAGGAATGAGCAATTCTAAGTACACTCTGATCGCAAGGGAATAAAATGCATTATATTGTGGCAGGATTCGGTAAGCCTCGTACCCTTTACCATGCTATGAAGCACATACGCAGACAATCCAAACAGTGTGCAAGCAAAACACTATGCTGTGCTGCTGCCCATCCTACCATATCTGGTTACAGAGGAACCACAAATCATTGTATGGTACCTCTATGCACCTCGCAACATGCTGCTATCATGCTATGCTACTCCTGCTGTAATGGTTGAAAGAACCCCCCACCTCCATGCTGTGACAGCGACACTCCCCCTCTGCCCACCCCACTCCCCAACCGCCCATCATCACCACCACCCATCCCAGGACCTTCCTCACCCGGCAAACCAAACTGTGTTCCACCCACTCCCACTCCTCCCAAACCCCCACCACCTCCGCCGCCCCCTCCTCCAACTCCCCCTCCATGAAAACCCCCCATTGCTACACTGAACGCGCCTGACCCCGCACAGCTCCATCCCCTGCTGCCACCTGTCGGGCCTTTTGGCTCCTTGTGCCTGCGTTGCATGTCCAGGAATATCCGGAGGAGCGACGGGCCGTCTAGTGACGATCCGCTTCCGTCTGTGCTGCTGCTGCCGCTGGTGGCGGTGGTGGTGTTGGGAAAGGTATTTGCACTGAATCCGTTCATCATTGTTGCTTCTGCTGCTCCTGCAGCTGTTGCTGGTACGGCCACACCTGCTCCTCCTCCTGCTGCCATTGCGACTGGAGGCACTGCTGCTGCTGGGCCGCCGGACCAGCTGCCTGATCTTACTGCTGCCATGGAGGGTAAATTACCCTGTGAAGAAGTCGTTTGCGAGATTGCTGATCCGTCTGTGGTGTTGGAGTGCACGGCATGTGCAGCAGCAGCTGCAGCAGCGGCTGAAGCAGCGGGGGAAGCAGCAGAAGCAGAGGCAGCAGGGGAGAGGAAGGCGTTGAAAGAAGCACTGCGCATGGCAGCAGCAGCGAGGGGAAACGCTGGACCCGCTGAGGGAATGGCTGGAACAGCAGCAGTGGCAGTGGCAGTGGGAGTGGCGGAAGGAGCAGATGGGCTTTGTCCTGCTCCCATGCGCTCCTCTTGGCTGCTTCCCGTGCCTGCTGCTGCTCCAGCATTACTGCTGTGCGATGGAATGGAAATGGGCTGCGAAGCAATTCCCAATACTGATGCTGAAGCAGAGGAGAGGAGGTGGGAGTGGGGGAGTGGGCCGTAGAGGGAGGAGTGAGGTGGAGGGGAGGAGGAGCGAGAGGAGGGCTTGGAGGAGAAAGAGGCAGGAGCGGAAGAGAGGTGTGGAGGGAGTGTGGTAGGTGCAAAGGAGGCGGTTAGAGGGATTGCTGGGTGAGGCAGGTAGGAGGAGGTGGAGTAGAGTGGGAAGGAGGGGGTGGGGGGAGGAGTGGGGTGGAGCATGGAGGGCGAGGGGACGGTGGAGAGGCGTGTGTGCAGCACTCTGAAGGCCACTCCGTGCTGTGAGGATGGGTGGGAAGGGGTGGGAAGTGGTGAGAAGGGATGGGAAACAGTAGGGAGAAAGAGGGAATCAAAAGGGGAAGGGCGAGGGGACGGCGGAGAGGCGCGTGTGTAGCACTCTAAAGGCCACTCCATGCTGCGAGGAAGATGGGTGGGAAGGGGTGGGTAGTGGTGAGGAGGGATGGGAAAGGGTAAGGAAGAAAGGGAACAAAAAGGGGAGCATGAAGGAAGGGGGGAAGGTGGAGAGGCGCGTGTGTAGCACTCTGAAGGCCACTCCGTGCTGTGAAGGGAGGCGCAACGGCAGAGGAGGGAGGGGAGAGGGCGGGGAGAGGAGCGAATAAGGGGAGGCAAAGATGTGGTTGAAAATTGGGAGAAGTCGAGTTTTGAGTGGCCTTCAGAAGAAGCACTAAAAACTCGACTTATCACACGCGGCACGGATGTGGCGGAAAAATGGGTTTGAAGAAGTGTTTTGACACTCGTCTCAAAACACTTGTTCAAACACGCGGCACGGATGTGGTGGAAAAATGGGTTTGAAGAAGTGTTTTGACACTCGTCTCAAAACACTTGCTCAAACACGCGGCACGGATGTGGTGGAAAAATGGGTTTGAAGAAGTGTTTTGACACTCGTCTCAAAACACTTGTTCAAACATGCGGCACGGATGTGGTGGAAAAATGGGTTTGAAGAAGTGTTTTGACACTCGTCTCAAAACACTTGTTCAAACACGCGGCACGGATGTGGTGGAAAAATGGGTTTGAAGAAGTGTTTTGACACTCGTCTCAAAACACTTGTTCAAACACGCGGCACGGATGTGGTGGAAAAATGGGTTTGAAGAAGTGTTTTGACACTCGTCTCAAAACACTTGTTCAAACACGCGGCACGGATGTGGTGGAAAAATGGGTTTGAAGAAGTGTTTTGACACTCGTCTCAAAACACTTGTTCAAACACGCGGCACGGATGTGGTGGAAAAATGGGTTTGAAGAAGTGTTTTGACACTCGTCTCAAAACACTTGTTCAAACACGCGGCACGGATGTGGTGGAAAAATGGGTTTGAAGAAGTGTTTTGACACTCGTCTCAAAACACTTGTTCAAACACGCGGCACGGATGTGGTGGAAAAATGGGTTTGAAGAAGTGTTTTGACACTCGTCTCAAAACACTTGTTCAAACACGCGGCACGGATGTGGTGGAAAAATGGGTTTGAAGAAGTGTTTTGACACTCGTCTCAAAACACTTGTTCAAACACGCGGCACGGATGTGGTGGAAAAATGGGTTTGAAGAAGTGTTTTGACACTCGTCTCAAAACACTTGTTCAAACACGCGGCACGGATGTGGTGGAAAAATGGGTTTGAAGAAGTGTTTTGACACTCGTCTCAAAACACTTGTTCAAACACGCGGCACGGATGTGGTGGAAAAATGGGTTTGAAGAAGTGTTTTGACACTCGTCTCAAAACACTTGTTCAAACACGCGGCACGGATGTGGTGGAAAAATGGGTTTGAAGAAGTGTTTTGACACTCGTCTCAAAACACTTGTTCAAACACGCGGCACGGATGTGGTGGAAAAATGGGTTTGAAGAAGTGTTTTGACACTCGTCTCAAAACACTTGTTCAAACACGCGGCACGGATGTGGTGGAAAAATGGGTTTGAAGAAGTGTTTTGACACTCGTCTCAAAACACTTGTTCAAACACGCGGCACGGATGTGGTGGAAAAATGGGTTTGAAGAAGTGTTTTGACACTCGTCTCAAAACACTTGTTCAAACACGCGGCACGGATGTGGTGGAAAAATGGGAGACAGACAGATGGAAACGGAGACAGGCAAACGGATATGCAGGGAGGCAGAACTTGAAGGAGGGGCGGAAAAGCGAGAGGTAGAGAGGATGTCATTAATCCCGAAAATGTTCTCATAAAGGATGTTCTCATAGAGGATGGCGCAGAGCAGGTGGGTGCAGTGAGAGGGTGCATTGAGAGAGGGTGCATTGAGAGAGGGTGCATTGAGAGAGGGTGCATTGAGTGAGGGTGCATTGAGAGAGGGTGCATTGAGTGAGGGTGCATTGAGAGAGGGTGCAGTGAGTGTGAGAGTACGCCGTTCTTCACCATAAGTTCTATTCCTTCTTGATTCTCCACGTTTCTAGTAAACCAATTAGAACAGATGTGAGTGGCACACCATGAGCGTCACACCATGAGCGTCACACCATGAGCGTCACACCATGAGCGTCACACCATGAGCGTCACACCATGAGCGTCACACCATGAGCGTCACACCATGAGCGGCACACCATGAGCGTCACACCATGAGCGGCACACCATGAGCGTCACACCATGAGCGTCACACCATGAGCGTCACACCACCATGAGCGTCACACCATGAGCGTCACATACTGCATGTAGAAGCATACCTGTGGCAGCAGCATGAGCAGGCCGTAGAGTGCTTTCAGGAGAGCAGGAGAACGGGAAGGATCCAGCAACTGTTGGGGGGACACGGACGAGAAGCACAGGTGCTTTGGTGGACCAGGGCCTGATTCGGAAGCACAAGGACGAGCGTGCGAAACTGAGGCAGCTCGTGGAACCGCTTAGGCAACCACAGTAACGAACCATGATGGGCATGCAGGCACGATGAAGGCATGGCACCAGGTTGGTGAAATGAAACCTATGATGAGATTATGATGACACAATGGAAGGCAAGGCACTGACCTGCAGTCTCAATCGGCTGAAAATGGGCGTTTCAAGCAGGAGAACTAGCTTGTCCATCTGCACACACACATGCACATGCACATGCACATGCACATGCCGATGCACAGAGCGATTTCGTACATACACGCGCACATGGGCATCACACATGCACATGGGGATGGAAAAATAAGCAGACCATTTGGTGTCCATAAGTTCGTTATCAATATGGCATGGCACCATGTATGATACAGCACCACAAAAACCCCGCTGCTAGTGCTGGTGGTGGTGGTGGCGCTGCTGCTTTTGCCGGCGGCGCTGGTGCCAATAGTGCTGCTCCTAGTGTTGCCGGTTGCAGTATATCTAAATACCCCTCCCCCGCTCCCTTTGTCACACCATCCCTGCCACGCGCACCTGCACCGTGAGGCTGAGGCTGAGGGAGAGGCTGAGGCTGAGGCTGAGGCTGAGGCTGAGGGAGAGGCTGAGGCTGAGGCTGAGGCTGAGGCTGAGGCTGAGGCTGAGGCTGAGGTTGCTCTCCTCTAGAGCATCCACGATGCACCATGCATGCTCGTACGCATGGGCCAGTGACAGTGGGTGGCGCTACTATTCATCTCTATCTTCCCCTACTCCCCACCCCAGACACACGCTTCTCTCCACCCACCCACCTGCACCATGAGGCTGAGGGACAGGTCGCTCTCCTCTAGAGCATCCACGATGCTCCATGCATGCTCGTACGCCTGGGTGTGTGGCGGTGGGTGCCACCCCAGACAGACGCTTCTCTCCACCCACCCACCTGCACCATGAGGCTAAGGCTGAGGTCGCTCTCCTCTAACGCGTCCACGATGCTCCACGCACAGGGTGGAGGACAGAGGGCTCGTACGCCTGGGTGTGTGGCGGTGGGTGCCACCCCAGACATACAATTCTCGCCTTCCACCCACCTGCACCATGAGGCTGAGGGAGAGGTCGCTCTCCTCTAAGGCGTCCACGATGCACCACGCATGCTCGTACGCCTGGGCCAGCAGGCACAGGCTCACTGCAGCGATGGGCGAGTGGCACCATGCCGGGTACAGCGCCAGGAACAGCCCCCTCCCACTGCACGCCGCTGCCGCTGCCGATGGTGCTGCTGATGGTGCTCCTGGTGCTGTTGTAGGTGCGTTGCCTGTGGCAGAAACTCCTGATCCTCCCGCTCCGCTTCCACCCCCACCCCCACCCTCACTCGCAAGCACAGACGGGGGGGAGGCGGAGGAGGGAGAGGACCCTGCACCATCTGCTGCTGCAGCTGCTGCAGCAGAAGCAACATGACTAGCAGCGGCAGAAGCAGCATGAGCAGCAGCAGCGGCAGAGAACGAGGGTTGAGTCATCACAGCAGCAGCAGAAACCGTAGGAGCAGGAGCAGCGAAGGAGCGGCGGAGCTTGGAGCGGATGGGGGCGAGCTCGGGGGCAGTGAGGAGGATGAGGGAGAGCGTTGGCACGATAGTGGCGGCGAACTGACAGTCGGACTCGTTCTGAAGAATGAAGGCCAGCTCTCGGAGGACTTTATCAGCGTCTAGCATGGCGCAGAGGTGGCGGATGATGATGCTGCCCCGCCTGAGTAGGGGGAAGGGGATGGTCAGGAAAAAAGGGGATAGCGGTAGGGGGTTGAGTGGAATGAGTTTGAAAGGGAGAGCATTGGCACAATGGTGGCGGCGAACTGGCAGTCCGACTCGTTCTGTTCTGCAGGATGAAAGCGAGCTCCCTGAGGACCTTGTGTGCGTCTAGCATGGTGCACAGATGGCGGATGATGATGCTGCCCCGCCTGGGTGGGTGGGGAGGAGGGGGGGGGAGGGAAGGAGAGAGGCGACGAGGAGGATGAGGCTGAGGGTGGGCGCAGTCGGAGTGTAATTGCAGCATACAGAGAGAGGGAGAGCATGCAGAGTGAGGGAGAGCATGCAGAGTGAGGGAGAGCATGCAGAGTGAGGGAGAGCATGCAGAGAAAGGGTGGCACACAGAGAAAGGGAGAGCATGCAGAGTGAGGGAGAGCATGCAGAGAAAGGGTGGCACACAGAGAAAGGGAGAGCATGCAGAGAAAGGGTGGCACACAGAGAAAGGGAGAGCACCTGTCAAGGAGGGCGCGGTCGGAGTTGAAGCGCAGGAGGAGGAGCAGCAGCAGCAAGAAAAGAGGGAGAGAGGCTGAGAGATTGAGACACAATTCAAGGACCACGAGAGCATGCAGAGAGAGCGCACCTGTCAAGGAGGGCGCGGTCGGAGTTGAAGCGCAGGAGGAGGAGCAGCAGCAGGCGGTGGAAGTGGTGCGGGTGACTGGCCACTGTGGCCTGCACTGATAACGCCTCTAGCACCACCTGTGATAAGATTATTGCATGGGTGCATGGTTGTGTGGTTGCAGGGACCAGGGAAGCAGAGAGGTGCTTGTCTTAGACAAATCAAAGCAGCAGCAGGCGGTGGAAGTGGTGGGGGTGGCTGGCCATCGTGGCCTGCACTGATAACGCCTCTAGCACCACCTGTGAGGGGATGGGTGCATAGTTGCAAGGTTGCATGATTATTGCACGGACTGGGGGAGAAGAGAGAGGTAGCAGGCGGTGGAAGTGGTGGGGGTGGCTGGCCATCGTGGCCTGCACTGGTAACGCCTCTAGCACCACCTGTGAGGGGATGGGTGCATAGTTGCATAGTCGCATGAATGTGAGGTCCCACGGGTCCTCACTCATCGGGGAAGTGCATAGTTGCATAGTCGCATAGTTGCATAGTCGCATAGTTGCATAGTCGCATCGCATGGACCAGAAGAGCAGAGAGAGGCAGAAGGGGAAGCGAAAGGCCTGAAAAGAGCTGAGCTGATAGATCCTCTACTCTACCACCACGTGACATGGTCAAAGAGGCCTTAAAGATAAAGAGGGGGGCAAAGAGAAGAAACAAGTTTCAAAAGCACAGCGTAGAAAAAAATCGAAAAGAAGGGACGAAAAGAGACGATAGAATTCAGATCCTTCAACCATTCACTCACATGGCCCGCGCGGGCAGGCGGATCGAATTGAATTACACCCATTTGAGGCGCCTCATGATTCAAATTCCACTGAAATATGTCATATTGCACAGCACTGCGCACCTGGTCTGAGTCATCTGCCAGCGCTGCAAGCAAGGACTCGAGAAGGGCAGTGGAGGGATCGTCCATGAGGTCTAGCAGCTGTGGGTGGGGGGGGAGGGGGGAGAGAAGAAGGGCAGGCGGAGCACTTGGATGAGAAGGCGGAACAGAAGGCTTGAGAAACATGATGCAAGCGACTTGAGAAGAGCAGTGGTGGGATCGTCCATGAGGTCTAGGAGCTGTGGATGGGGGGAGTGAGGGGGGAGGAGGAGGGCAGGCGAGGCAAATGGGAGGGGAGGTGAAACAACAAGTAGAGATTGGAAGGAAATGGAAGGGCAGTAAAGGGATCGTCCAAAAGGTGAAGGAGCTGTGGCGAGAAGGCAGGTGGGGAATGGAGTTGGGTGGGAGGAAGAATAGACATCTGGAGAAGATGAAAGGGGAAATGAAGTCTAGTTTTGAGGCGCCTCAAAACTAGAAGAAGTACAAACATAACATCTGGAGAAGATGAAAGGGGAAATGAAGCAGAGATGCAGATTCGTCATCATTCTTGGTACTGGGAGGAAATTACATATATTACCTAATCTGAGAGTCAATCTATACCGCGTGGTCTGGAAATTGAATAAACCGACGTGGTGTGGTGTGGTGGGGGTAGGAATCTACACACCTGGTGTGAGAATGGAAAAGATGAACCCACCTGGTGTGGGAAACGGTGCAGAAGGGTGGCGATCCATGCAAGTGCCTCCAGCCTCGTGGCCTCCCAGCTGCTGCTCAACTCCCTGCGATCACCATTCATGACCGAGGAAATCAAGAGGGAGATTCAGGGTGCTGCAATTGCTTAGTTGACTCAAAGATCAAAGTTCCCTTCTCAAAGATCAAAGTTCCCTTCTCAAAGATCAAAGTTCCCTTCTCAAAGATCAAAGTTCCCTTTTCAAAGATGAAGGGGATCAAGAAGGGAATCAAACAGAGTGCTGCACTGTGCTGTGCTGCACTGTGCTGTGCTGCACTGTGCTGTGCTGTGCTGTGCTGTGCTGTGCTGTGCTGTGCTGCACTGTGCTGTGCTCTGCTGTGCTGTGCTGCACTGTGCTGTGCTGCACTGTGCTGTGCTGTGCTGTGCTGCACTGTGCTGTGCTGCACTGTGCTGTGCTGTGCTGTGCTGCACTGTGCTGTGCTGTGCTGTGCTGTGCTGTGCTGCACTGTGCTGTGCTGTGCTGTGCTGTGCTGTGCTGTGCTGCACTGTGCTGTGCTGTGCTGTGCTGTGCTGTGCTGTGCTGCACTGTGCTGTGCTCCGGGCTTACCAGCATTGCCTCCACGTGCCATCTTCCCTTCACCCACCTCTGCAATAGACAGGTTGCAGCAAACCCCTACCCACCACCTCGCTATTCCCCCTCCCCACACCGCCGCTTCGCTATCCACCCCCCCGCCCAACGCATTTCTACCCCCTCCCTCCTCCCCACCCACTGCCTCGTTGTGCAACATTCGCCCCTCACCCCACCCACCTCCTTGCAATCTCCACCACTGCCCGCACGTCGAAGCCATCCGCCACGCTCTGCTCCCTCACCCTCTCCAGCTGCTCCTCGTTCGTGTCGCGCGCTATCTGCGTGGCGTGCAAGAGACAGGGGATCACAACATGCTGTGATGTGAATCACACACGTCGCACGTTGACGCCATCCGCCACGCTCTGCTCCCTCACTCTTGCGATCTGCTCCTCGTTGAAGTCGCGCACTATCTGTGTAACGTGGGGCAAGGGACGGGACAGGGAAGCACTTTGATTATCACGCACATCACATGCAATCCAATCTGCCACGCTCTGCTCCCCCACCCTTGCCAGTTGCTCCTCGTTGGTGCCACGCGCTATCTGCGCGGCGAGGGGCAAGGGACGGGACAGGGCAACACACTGGGCACGTCACATGCAATCCAATCTGCCACGCTCTGCTTCCCCACTATCTGCGTGGTGTGGTGAGGGGCAAGGGACACAGAATTCTTGGAAGTCAATCGCGTAATCACTCCCGCACTATGTATTTCAGTCCGCCACGCTCTGCTCCCTTGCTCTTGCTAGCTGCTCCTTGTTGGTGCCGCGCATGCACTATCTGAATGCAGGGAATGGAAAGGGGATTGCGTTGTTTTTACACAGGCGCTGTCAAGAAAGGCAAAGCGATGGTCAGCTGCTCATGCTTGTGCTGCTTCCCTGGGACGATCCGATCCTCAGTCATTTTCCATTGAGGCAGCAGCAATCTTCTCCTCGCAGTCGGTGTTGCATTGCAGGGCAGACTGGCAGCACACGGCATTCCCAATACGAGCCACTTCTTGGTGCATTCAATACCAGCTATATTGATGCGACTTTGAGAATTCTCAACATTCAACACCGCGTAAGCCGCTTGTATGTCTTACTGCAGTGATCTTCTCTTCCCGGTCAGCACAGCAATGGAGGGCGGAATGGCTCCCACCACAGCACAGCAATGGAGGGCGGAATGGCTCCCACCACAGCAGCAGCGGCAACGGCAAGTCTTCCCCTGGTTAGCGATGCACAATCGAGCCCCACTTAGAGGCCATGTCTTTTGAGGTGACTTTTGAGTCGACTCAAAAGTCACCAAGTCTTCCCCTGGTTAGCGATGCACCACAGAACAGAACCAGCACAGGGCTTTCATAATACGAGCTTTTGTGTAAGGTTGTCTCACCGCAGCGATCTTCTCCTCGCGGTCAGTGATGCAGGGCAGAATGGCGCCCACTACAGGGACTAGTGAGAACCACACATACATACAAGGAGACGCAGGTACATCAGTGAAAACGTCCCACTCACAGCAGCAATGTTCTCCTCCCTGTCGGCGATGCAGGGCAGAATGGGGCCCACCACAGCAGCAGCAAGTCCTCTCCTTCCAGGGAGCAATGCATCACAGGACCAGCATAGGGCAATCACAATACGAGCTTCCATGTAAGCCTCACTCACTCACCGCAGCAATCTTCTCCTCGCGGTCAGCGATGCAGGGCAGAATGGCGCCCACCACAGCCGCATAGTACGGCATCATCTGCGCTCCCCCCAGCTTCACAAAGTCGTTGATCTGCGTTGCACACGAGAGAGCAGAGAGCACGCATGAGCTTGCGGCATGGGGTGACGTGACATCAATGCATCATTATCTGCGCGCCCCCCAGCTTCACAAAGTCGTTGATCTGCGTTGGAAGCGGGTGAGTAACGAACACGGGCGACTGATTGCCGCATCGCATATTCGCGCCCCCAGCTTAAAAAGGTTAATCTGCATTGGATTAGACAAAGGTGGGTAACGACGAGCATGCGTTGGAGCGCCATGAGATAACATGGCAATATTTGTACCCATGTGACAGCCGTGAGGCATAACCATGTGAAAACCGTGACACATACCCATGTGACAGAGTCACATCCCATCCCATCATACCCATGTGACAGCGTCACATCCCATCCTATCCCATCATACCCATGTGACAGCGTCACATCCCATCCTATCCCATCATACCCATGTGACAGCGTCACATCCCATCCTATCCCATCATACCCATGTGACAGCGTCACATCCCATCCCATCCAATCCCATCCCATCCCATCCCATCATACCCATGTGACAGCGTCACATCCCATCCCATCCCATCATACCCATGTGACAGCGTCACATCCCATCCCATCCCATCATACCCATGTGACAGCGTCACATCCCATCCCATCCCATCATACCCATGTGACAGCGTCACATCCCATCCCATCCCATCATACCCATGTGACAGCGTCACATCCCATCCCATCCCATCATACCCATGTGACAGCGTCACATCCCATCCCATCCCATCATACCCATGTGACAGCGTCACATCCCATCCCATCCCATCATACCCATGTGACAGCGTCACATCCCATCCCATCCCATCATACCCATGTGACAGCGTCACATCCCATCCCATCCCAGCATACCCATGTGACAGCGTCACATCCCATCCCATCCCATCCTACCCATGTGACAGCGTCACATCCCATCCCATCCCATCATACCCATGTGACAGCGTCACATCCCATCCCATCATACCCAAGTGACAGCATCCCATCCCATCATACCCAAGTGACAGCATCCCATCCCATCATACCCAAGTGACAGCATCCCATCCCATCATACCCAAGTGACAGCATCCCATCCCATCATACCCAAGTGACAGCATCCCATCCCATCATACCCAAGTGACAGCATCCCATCCCATCATACCCAAGTGACAGCATCCCATCCCATCATACCCAAGTGACAGCATCCCATCCCATCATACCCAAGTGACAGCATCCCATCCCATCATACCCAAGTGACAGCATCCCATCCCATCATACCCAAGTGACAGCATCCCATCCCATCATACCCAAGTGACAGCATCCCATCCCATCATACCCAAGTGACAGCATCCCATCCCATCATACCCAAGTGACAGCATCCCATCCCATCATACCCAAGTGACAGCATCCCATCCCATCATACCCAAGTGACAGCATCCCATCCCATCATACCCAAGTGACAGCATCCCATCCCATCATACCCAAGTGACAGCATCCCATCCCATCATACCCAAGTGACAGCATCCCATCCCATCATACCCAAGTGACAGCATCCCATCCCATCATACCCAAGTGACAGCATCCCATCCCATCATACCCAAGTGACAGCATCCCATCCCATCATACCCAAGTGACAGCATCCCATCCCATCATACCCAAGTGACAGCATCCCATCCCATCATACCCAAGTGACAGCATCCCATCCCATCATACCCAAGTGACAGCATCCCATCCCATCATACCCAAGTGACAGCATCCCATCCCATCATACCCAAGTGACAGCATCCCATCCCATCATACCCAAGTGACAGCATCCCATCCCATCATACCCAAGTGACAGCATCCCATCCCATCATACCCAAGTGACAGCATCCCATCCCATCATACCCAAGTGACAGCATCCCATCCCATCATACCCAAGTGACAGCATCCCATCCCATCATACCCAAGTGACAGCATCCCATCCCATCATACCCAAGTGACAGCATCCCATCCCATCATACCCAAGTGACAGCATCCCATCCCATCATACCCAAGTGACAGCATCCCATCCCATCATACCCAAGTGACAGCATCCCATCCCATCATACCCAAGTGACAGCATCCCATCCCATCATACCCAAGTGACAGCATCCCATCCCATCATACCCAAGTGACAGCATCCCATCCCATCATACCCAAGTGACAGCATCCCATCCCATCATACCCAAGTGACAGCATCCCATCCCATCATACCCAAGTGACAGCATCCCATCCCATCATACCCAAGTGACAGCATCCCATCCCATCATACCCAAGTGACAGCATCCCATCCCATCATACCCAAGTGACAGCATCCCATCCCATCATACCCAAGTGACAGCATCCCATCCCATCATACCCAAGTGACAGCATCCCATCCCATCATACCCAAGTGACAGCATCCCATCCCATCATACCCAAGTGACAGCATCCCATCCCATCATACCCAAGTGACAGCATCCCATCCCATCATACCCAAGTGACAGCATCCCATCCCATCATACCCAAGTGACAGCATCCCATCCCATCATACCCAAGTGACAGCATCCCATCCCATCATACCCAAGTGACAGCATCCCATCCCATCATACCCAAGTGACAGCATCCCATCCCATCATACCCAAGTGACAGCATCCCATCCCATCATACCCAAGTGACAGCATCCCATCCCATCATACCCAAGTGACAGCATCCCATCCCATCATACCCAAGTGACAGCATCCCATCCCATCATACCCAAGTGACAGCATCCCATCCCATCATACCCAAGTGACAGCATCCCATCCCATCATACCCAAGTGACAGCATCCCATCCCATCATACCCAAGTGACAGCATCCCATCCCATCATACCCAAGTGACAGCATCCCATCCCATCATACCCAAGTGACAGCATCCCATCCCATCATACCCAAGTGACAGCATCCCATCCCATCATACCCAAGTGACAGCATCCCATCCCATCATACCCAAGTGACAGCATCCCATCCCATCATACCCAAGTGACAGCATCCCATCCCATCATACCCAAGTGACAGCATCCCATCCCATCATACCCAAGTGACAGCATCCCATCCCATCATACCCAAGTGACAGCATCCCATCCCATCATACCCAAGTGACAGCAGTGAGGCGAGTGAACTCATCAGAGGACCCCGCTCGCTGCACCAGGATCTCCATCATTCGCCCGTACTCCACCGCCTGGCAAGAGGGAAGGGGTGGGGAGGGGAAGAAGAAGCTGAGAAAGAAGGGAACCACCCACTGTGCGATCCCATTGAAAACCCTCTACCCCGCGCATACACCCCCCTCCCTCCGCCACTGACACAACCCACAACCGCCCTGCACTGCACCCGCATTCACAGGCGCGTAGCGAATCTCGTGCGCAAAATGTCCACGTGAAGTGAGGGTGTTTTTGAGACGTCTCAAAAACACCCTCACTTCACGTGAATCTCGTGCGCAAAATCCCTCTGCCCCACTGCTCTATCCCTGCCACCACACCCGCCCTGCACTCTGAAACCCCCTTCCCCTCTCCCTCTTGCACTCTAAAAACTCACAGACATGCTCAAATTTCGTGAAGTAGGGAGTGCTCATCTTGAACTCCCTCAGCCCCCTGCCTGCCTGCACTCCGACCCACCTTATCCACACCCTACTGCAAGCAGCCCACTCACTCACACCCCCCTCCCACTCACAGGTGCGTGGCGAATCTCGTGAAGATACTCCCTCAGTGCGCTGTCTGCCTGCACTCCAAACCACCTTATCAGCACCCTGCCGCAAGCACCAACCCATCCCCCTCCTCCCCCCCCCCCGACTCACAGGAGCGTGGCGGATTTCGTGCAGGAACTCCCTCAGCGCGCTGTCTGCCTGCACTCTGATCTCGTGGGCTGAATCTCCCAGCATGTTGAACAGCCCTGGCGGAAGGGAGGAAAGCAGGATCGGGGGCAGCAGGGGCGGGGAGGGTGAGATGGGGCAGATCGATGCTCTTGGCCACGCAGAGCGCTGTCTGCCTGCACAACCATCTCGTGGGCTGAATCGCCCAGCATGTTGGACAGGCCTGGTGGTGGGAGAGGAGGGGAAGTGGGGGGGGAGGGAGCAGGGAGGGGGAGGGAAGAGGGAGAAGGAGGGGGAAATGACTTGGTGGTGTGGTCGGGCAGGAAGCTGAGCAAATCAATCTCCAGCAGCTTGGTGATCCGTTAGAGGTCAGATCAGAAGGCTCACACATCCACATGACTGCAGGAGTCACAGCAGTGATAGATAACCTGTCAAACCATCGAGGAGGTCGGGTCGGGCGGGATGACAAGCATACCAATGTCTGTCCGGCACACCGTCAAGTCAAGCACGGTGATCCCTTAATAGTAGACTCAAAATGCATGCAGATATATACAGACTCAAAACCATCACCGCAAGGCACAGCGCTGGAGACCCAACCCACCATCCAGGGGGACGGGCAGGACGCCTAGCAGGTCGATGAAATCAGTAGGATAACACTCACAGCGATATTGACTACCAAGCACGGATATTGACTTCATCGTTATCCGGCACTCTGTCAAGCCAAGCACGGTTATCCTACTGACTTCACTCCACTTGACTCAAAAGGCATACACTCACAGCGATGCCCAAATGACCCAACCCACCGTCGAGTAGGCCAGGTAAGAACCGCAGCATGTCAATGTCGGACATGCTGTCGCTGTCAGTGAACATTAAACAGAACGTCAACATTAAATCAGAACTTGAGTAAAGCTGAACATGTCAATGTCGGACATGCTGTCAAGCACTGTGATCCCTTACTGTATGCTCAACAGCATTCACATACAAACCACAACAGCCCGCTAAGAACCCACCGTCCAGCAGGTCGGGTAAGAAGCTGCGCATGTCGATGTCAGGCACGCTGTCAAGCACCATGATCCAGCCGACTTGGCTTGACTCAAAAGGCACACACACAGAAGCCATGCATGCAAACACAAAGTCCAGCTAACCCACCGTCGAGCAGGTCAGGTAAGAAGCCGAGCATGTCGATGTCAGGCACGCTATCAAGCACGCACGGTGATCCCTTGGAGTCGACTTACGGTTGATTGCAACCAGAGAGTTTAAAAGGCCCACTGACCATCCAGCAGGTCAGGCAGAAAGCCGAGCATGTCAATGTCAGGCACGCTGTCCAGCACCGTGATCCATCCAACAAGAACGTACGCACACATAATTGCAAGCAGATACAAAGTTTAGAGCACCCACCATCAAGCAGATACAAAGTTCAGAGCACCCACCATCAAGCAGGTCAGGCAGAAAGCCGAGCATGTCAATGTCAGGCACGCTGTCCAGCACCGTGATCCATCCGACAAGAACGTACGCACACATAATTGCAAGCAGATACAAAGTTTAGAGCACCCACCATCAAGCAGATACAAATTTCAGAGCACCCACCATCAAGCAGGTCAGGCAGAAAGCCGAGCATGTCAATGTCAGGCACGCTGTCCAGCACCGTGATCCATCCGACAAGAACGTACGCACACATAATTGCAAGCAGATACAAAGTTTAGAGCACCCACCATCAAGCAGATACAAAGTTCAGAGCACCCACCATCAAGCAGGTCAGGCAGAAAGCCGAGCATGTCAATGTCAGGCACGCTGTCCAGCACCGTGATCCATCCAACAAGAACGTACGCACACATAATTGCAAGCAGATACAAAGTTTAGAGCACCCACCATCAAGCAGATACAAAGTTCAGAGCACCCACCATCAAGCAGGTCAGGCAGAAAGCCGAGCATGTCAATGTCAGGCACGCTGTCCAGCACCGTGATCCATCCAACAAGAACGTACGCACACATAATTGCAAGCAGATACAAAGTTTAGAGCACCCACCATCAAGCAGATACAAAGTTCAGAGCACCCACCATCAAGCAGGTCAGGCAGAAAGCCGAGCATGTCAATGTCAGGCACGCTGTCCAGCACCGTGATCCATCCAACAAGAACGTACGCACACATAATTGCAAGCAGATACAAAGTTTAGAGCACCCACCATCAAGCAGATACAAAGTTCAGAGCACCCACCATCAAGCAGGTCAGGCAGAAAGCCGAGCATGTCAATGTCAGGCACGCTGTCCAGCACCGTGATCCATCCAACAAGAACGTACGCACACATAATTGCAAGCAGATACAAAGTTTAGAGCACCCACCATCAAGCAGATACAAAGTTCAGAGCACCCACCATCAAGCAGGTCAGGCAGAAAGCCGAGCATGTCAATGTCAGGCACGCTGTCCAGCACCGTGATCCATCCAACAAGAACGTACGCACACATAATTGCAAGCAGATACAAAGTTTAGAGCACCCACCATCAAGCAGATACAAAGTTCAGAGCACCCACCATCAAGCAGGTCAGGCAGAAAGCCGAGCATGTCAATGTCAGGCACGCTGTCCAGCACCGTGATCCATCCAACAAGAACGTACGCACACATAATTGCAAGCAGATACAAAGTTTAGAGCACCCACCATCAAGCAGATACAAAGTTCAGAGCACCCACCATCAAGCAGGTCAGGCAGAAAGCCGAGCATGTCAATGTCAGGCACGCTGTCCAGCACCGTGATCCATCCGACAAGAACGTACGCACACATAATTGCAAGCAGATACAAAGTTTAGAGCACCCACCATCAAGCAGATACAAAGTTCAGAGCACCCACCATCAAGCAGGTCAGGCAGAAAGCCGAGCATGTCAATGTCAGGCACGCTGTCCAGCACCGTGATCCATCCGACAAGAACGTACGCACACATAATTGCAAGCAGATACAAAGTTTAGAGCACCCACCATCAAGCAGATACAAAGTTCAGAGCACCCACCATCAAGCAGGTCAGGCAGAAAGCCGAGCATGTCAATGTCAGGCACGCTGTCCAGCACCGTGATCCATCCGACAAGAACGTACGCACACATAATTGCAAGCAGATACAAAGTTTAGAGCACCCACCATCAAGCAGATACAAAGTTCAGAGCACCCACCATCAAGCAGGTCAGGCAGAAAGCCGAGCATGTCAATGTCAGGCACGCTGTCCAGCACCGTGATCCATCCGACAAGAACGTACGCACACATAATTGCAAGCAGATACAAAGTTTAGAGCACCCACCATCAAGCAGATACAAAGTTCAGAGCACCCACCATCAAGCAGGTCAGGCAGAAAGCCGAGCATGTCAATGTCAGGCACGCTGTCCAGCACCGTGATCCATCCAACAAGAACGTACGCACACATAATTGCAAGCAGATACAAAGTTTAGAGCACCCACCATCAAGCAGATACAAAGGTCAGAGCACCCACCATCAAGCAGGTCAGGCAGAAAGCCGAGCATGTCAATGTCAGGCACGCTGTCCAGCACCGTGATCCATCCAACAAGAACGTACGCACACATAATTGCAAGCAGATACAAAGTTTAGAGCACCCACCATCAAGCAGATACAAAGTTCAGAGCACCCACCATCAAGCAGGTCAGGCAGAAAGCCGAGCATGTCAATGTCAGGCACGCTGTCCAGCACCGTGATCCATCCGACAAGAACGTACGCACACATAATTGCAAGCAGATACAAAGTTTAGAGCACCCACCATCAAGCAGATACAAAGTTCAGAGCACCCACCATCAAGCAGGTCAGGCAGAAAGCCGAGCATGTCAATGTCAGGCACGCTGTCCAGCACCGTGATCCATCCGACAAGAACGTACGCACACATAATTGCAAGCAGATACAAAGTTTAGAGCACCCACCATCAAGCAGATACAAAGTTCAGAGCACCCACCATCAAGCAGGTCAGGCAGAAAGCCGAGCATGTCAATGTCAGGCACGCTGTCCAGCACCGTGATCCATCCAACAAGAACGTACGCACACATAATTGCAAGCAGATACAAAGTTTAGAGCACCCACCATCAAGCAGATACAAAGTTCAGAGCACCCACCATCAAGCAGGTCAGGCAGAAAGCCGAGCATGTCAATGTCAGGCACGCTGTCCAGCACCGTGATCCATCCGACAAGAACGTACGCACACATAATTGCAAGCAGATACAAAGTTTAGAGCACCCACCATCAAGCAGATACAAAGTTCAGAGCACCCACCATCAAGCAGGTCAGGCAGAAAGCCGAGCATGTCAATGTCAGGCACGCTGTCCAGCACCGTGATCCATCCGACAAGAACGTACGCACACATAATTGCAAGCAGATACAAAGTTTAGAGCACCCACCATCAAGCAGATACAAAGTTCAGAGCACCCACCATCAAGCAGGTCAGGCAGAAAGCCGAGCATGTCAATGTCAGGCACGCTGTCCAGCACCGTGATCCATCCAACAAGAACGTACGCACACATAATTGCAAGCAGATACAAAGTTTAGAGCACCCACCATCAAGCAGATACAAAGTTCAGAGCACCCACCATCAAGCAGGTCAGGCAGAAAGCCGAGCATGTCAATGTCAGGCACGCTGTCCAGCACCGTGATCCATCCAACAAGAACGTACGCACACATAATTGCAAGCAGATACAAAGTTTAGAGCACCCACCATCAAGCAGATACAAAGTTCAGAGCACCCACCATCAAGCAGGTCAGGCAGAAAGCCGAGCATGTCAATGTCAGGCACGCTGTCCAGCACCGTGATCCATCCGACAAGAACGTACGCACACATAATTGCAAGCAGATACAAAGTTTAGAGCACCCACCATCAAGCAGATACAAATTTCAGAGCACCCACCATCAAGCAGGTCAGGCAGAAAGCCGAGCATGTCAATGTCAGGCACGCTGTCCAGCACCGTGATCCATCCGACAAGAACGTACGCACACATAATTGCAAGCAGATACAAAGTTTAGAGCACCCACCATCAAGCAGATACAAATTTCAGAGCACCCACCATCAAGCAGGTCAGGCAGAAAGCCGAGCATGTCAATGTCAGGCACGCTGTCCAGCACCGTGATCCATCCGACAAGAACGTACGCACACATAATTGCAAGCAGATACAAAGTTTAGAGCACCCACCATCAAGCAGATACAAAGTTCAGAGCACCCACCATCAAGCAGGTCAGGCAGAAAGCCGAGCATGTCAATGTCAGGCACGCTGTCCAGCACCGTGATCCATCCAACAAGAACGTACGCACACATAATTGCAAGCAGATACAAAGTTTAGAGCACCCACCATCAAGCAGATACAAAGTTCAGAGCA